TATAAACTAGGGTAGTTATATAAAGCTAAAATAAAGGAGACAATATATAAGGGACTAAAATTAAGTAATGGTAAACAAAGTTAAATGGACAGATGGTAGGAATTATAATATAAACTTATAATATAAAAATACAATTTGAAATGGTACTTGCAATTGCACTAGAGTCTGGTATAGGTTGTTGACAAGATCAAGATTAATGCTGATTATGCTGCTAAGTATGATATTCTATGTAACTTTATTTGTGTATAACTAAATAAACTTACTTATGATGCCACATGCACTTGAGTAAGTTTATTCAGGTGTACAGAAATACAATTGCATAGATTATCATACATAGCAGCATACGTATAAAATCCTAGGATAACCCAAAAAAGTCAGGGTGACTTATTTCTATAGTTATCCCTGTATCTGTACCATATGGTGTCCTGTACTGTATGGTACCCTGTACCATAAGTAAGTAAGTTTATTCAGGTATACACAAATACAGTTACATAGAATTATCATACATAGCAGCATATGTGTAGAGAACCTAGGATAACCCAAAAAAGTCAGACAGAGTGACTTATTTCCATTGGGGTCCCTGTACCATATGGTACCCTGCACCATATATTATCCTGTACTGCATGGTACCCTTTACCACATAGTACAATGTACCATATGGTACCCTGTAACATATGGTCAATAGGTGTTAGTGGCATGAGACACCAGCCAAGACTGAGTGAGTGGCGACGCAAGACTCCACAGTTTCCGAGACAAAGTGCTTTGTCATCCACCTCAAGGAACACGTAAAGTTCCTGTACACTTGTAAATATATAATAGAACATTACTAATATACAAAATTTTTTGCATATTTTTATTGTAAACAACTATTGTAAACAAAATAATAATGAAAATATTAGTGTGTCTGTGTTGAATACAACAGTACCATATGGTACAATGAACCATATGGTATCATTGTATTGTATGGTACAATGTACCATATGGTACCATTGCATCATATGGTACCATATGTACCATTACCCATATGGTACCATAAGGTACCATTGCACCATATGGTACCATTGTATCATATGGTACCATTGTACCAAATGGTGGCATTCTACCATATCGTACCATTGTATCATATGGTACCATTGTATCATGTGCCATTGTGCCATATTGTACCATATGATGTCATTGTACCATATGGTACCATTGCATGCTATGGTACCATTGCACCCTATGGCACCATTGTACCATATGGTACTACAGTGGACCCCCGCATAGCGAACTTAATCCGTGCAAGAGGGCTGGTCGTTATGCGAAATGTTCGCTATGCGAATTAATTTTCCCCATAAGAAATAATGGAAATAAAATTAATCCGTGCAAGACACCCAAAAGTATGAAAAAAAAAATTTTTTACCACAAAAAAATGTTAATTTTAGTACACACAAACTGAAAAAGGCATGCACAATTACATGACACTTACTTTTATTGAAGATCTGGTGATGATTGATGGGATGGGAGGAGGGGAGAGAGAGTGTTAGTGTTTAGAAGGGAATCCCCTTCCATTAGGACTTGAGGTAGCAAGTCCTTTTCTGGGGTTACTTCCCTTCTTCTTTTAATGCCACTAGGACCAGCTTCAGATCACTGGACTTCTTTCGCACAACATATCTGTCCATAGTGGCCTGTACCTCTCGTTCCTTTATGATTTGTCTAAAGTGGTTCACAACACAGTGTCATTGTAACAGTCACCAGCACGGCTTGCAATAGCTGTGTGAGGGTGATTTTCATCAAAAAAGGTTTGCACTTCAAGCCATTTTGCACACATTTCCTTAATCTTTGAAGTAGGCAATTCCTTCAATTTCTCTCTCCCCTCCTTTGAACCAGTTTCCCCAGGTCTGGCCTCTTGCTCTTGAAGTTGATCTATCAGCTCATCAGTGGTTAGTTCTTCATTGTCCTCCTCCACCAACTCTTTCCACATCCTCCCCACTAACCTCCAACCCCAAGGACTTCCCCAATTCCACAATTGATTCCTCAACTTGGTATACTACTCCTCTCAGGGTTAGCTCAAACCCTTCAAAATCCCTTTTGTCTACACATTCTGGCCACAGTTTCTTCCAAGCAGAGTTCAAGGTTCTCTTAGTCACTCCCCCCAAGCCTTACCTATAAGGTTTACACAATTGAGGATATTAAAGTGATCCTTCCAAAACTCTTTTAGAGTCAATCGAGTGTCTGTGGTCACTTCAAAGCACTTTTGAAACAAGCTTTTGTGTACAGTTTCTTGAAGTTGGAAATGACCTGCTGGTCCATGGGCTGCAGGAGAGGAGTGGTATTAGGAGGCAAAAACTTCACCTTAATGAAGCTCATGTCCCCATAAAGTCGCTCTGCCACGTCTGTAGGATGACCAGGGCATTGTCTAACACCAGGAGGCACTTAAGGTCTAATTTTCTTTTCAGTTTAGGTAATCTTTCACATTGGGGGCAAATGCATGGTGTAACCAGTTATAGAAAAATTCCCTAGTGACCCATGCCTTACTGTTTGCCCTCCACAGCACACACAAATTATCCTTGAGGACATTCTTTTGCCTGAACGCTCTGGGAGTTTCAGAGTGATACACTAATAAAGGCTTAACTTTGCAATCACCACTAGCATTGGCACACATCAACAAAGTAAGCCTGTCTTTCATAGGCTTATGTCCTGGGAGTGCCTTTTCCTCCTGAGTAATGTAGGTCCTGCTTGGCATTTTCTTCCAGAACAGGCCTGTTTCATCACAATTAAACACTTGTTCAGGTTCCATCCTTCAGTTTTCTATGTACTCCTTGAATTCATGCACATATTTTTCAGCCGCTTTGTGGTCCGAACTGGCAGCCTCACCATGCCGTATCACACTATGGATGCCACTACGCTTCTTAAATCTCTCAAACCAACCTTTGCTGGCCTTAAATTCACTCACACATCACTAGTTGCAGGCATTTTTTTAATTAAATCGTCATGCAACTTCCTAGCCTTTTCACATATGATCGCTTGAGAGACGCTATCTCCTGCTAGCTGTTTTTTCATTTTATCCACACCAATAAGAGTCTCTCAACATCTTCCATCACTTGCGATCTTTGTTTCGAAAACACAGTTAAACCTTGGCAACAACAGCTTCCTTGATTGCCGTTTTCTTGCCCACAATAGAAGCGATGGTTGATTTTGGTTTCTTGTACGACCTGACCAGGTCGGTGATACGTACTCCACTTTCATACTTATCAATGATCTCTTTCTTCATTTCAATGGGTATTCTTACCCTTTGAGGTGTAGGGTTGGCACTAGAAGCTTTCTTGGGGCCCATGGTCCACTTATTTTCCACAAACAGCACCGAAAACACTGTAATAATACGAAATATTCCGAGTGTATGCTTGAATGTTACCGCGGAGGCTGGCTGGTAAACAATGGGACGGGCGGCACATGTGAGGCTGGCTGAGGGCGCACATTGGACGCGTCTCGGACGAAGGTCGCTGAGTGGGTTTTTGTCCACTATGCGGGGCAAAATTTTAGCGAACAAAGCGTTCGCTATGCGGATTGTTCGCTATGCAAGGCGTTCGCTATGCGGGGGTCCACTGTATATGGTACCATTGTATCATGTGCCATTGTATCATATTGTACCATATGGTACCATTGTATCATATGGTGCCATTGTACCATATGGTACCATTGCACCCTATGGCACCATTGTACCATATGGTACTATATGGTACCGTTGTATTCAACACAATAACCGCACTAATATTTTCATCATTTTGTTTACAATAAGCTTGTAAACAAGTTTTGTAAGCAATATAATGATAAACAAATTAGTGCAGTTATTGTGTTGAATACAATAAGTGTACACATATACAATATACATTATACTGGTCTCACAGGCCACAAATGTTATTAGAAAAAGAAAAAATTAGAAAAGAAAAGAAAAAAGTATAAAAAACAAAATAAAAAAATGGGATTTTGCGGATGTCACCGATGTTGCCGCCACCCGGTCATTTTGGGTCAACTTCCCGCCGCTGTATCTCGGTAAGTACTGATCAGAAAAAACTTTTTTTTTGTCTTATTACCTTCACAAAAATATACTCTTTAATTCTGTAAGAATTTTTTTTTTTTTTTTTTTTTTTTTTTTTTTTTTTTTTTTTTTTTTTTTTTTTCAAAATTTTTTGGACACTGGAGCACCACTTCAGATTTTGGCCTTGGACCCTGAAGGGGTTAAATTCTAATATTAACCTTGACCTAAAACGCTTTCTTGATAGTTGCGACAGAACCCACAGGCACAACACCAGACACAAACATCTCTATGACATTCCCCGTGTCCGACTAAACCTTTACAAAAATTCAATGTATGTCAAAGGCCCTAAAATCTGGAACACCCTACCTGAAAATTCTAAAACTGCAGACACATTCATCACCTCCAAAACTACCATCAGAAAACATCTTATCTCCCCGATACACCCTGTCAACTAATTACACGAATACCACCTGGTGGTTAACACTTACACTCACTCACCCATTTGACCATAAACAGAAATATCAATCTCAATCTCAAAATAATGAATCTTAACTAGTCATAAGTTGGCCTGTGATACTCCATTACTGAAACTATGTATAGTGCCAAAACAAAAGCATTCACATTGCAAAACTCACAAACTAGTATTTAGTCACTTAGCCATAATACCAACTAACCTCATAATTTTGTAATATTTTAAACTTAAGATTTAATTTAAGTCTGCCCGAAATGCCTAGCCATGCTAGGTGTTCTAGTGGTACACTCTGTAATTATTATTTTACTACATGTAAACCACACAATAACCAAATTCTGTAAACTCAGCATTGTAATCCTTATAGAGTATGAATGAATCCTTATAGAGAATAAACTTTGAATTTGAATTTGAATGTAAACAAAGATGTATGTAATGTACATATACATCTAATGTAAACAAAGATGCATACAGTGTAAACAAAGACATGCCATTTTTATAACAATAAATCTTGACTACGTGAGGGAACTAAGCATTAGTGTGAATTATACGATGTACAGCCACTGTACACCACGGAATAAATATTTTTTGTGTAAATTGTTGCTTTGGGGGATACTAGCAAAAACAATAAATTAATTTTGGTTATGCAGCACCACTGAGCCAATTAACACTTTAGTGTGCTGAGTTGTGTCATGAGTGCCTCAATATAAACACACAAGTATGTACCAGTAAGGTTAGGCAGGTTTTGTTTTGTTAGGTTACATTAGGTTAGGTGGGTTTTGTTAGGTTACATTAGGTTAGGCAGGTTTTATTTTGTTAGGCTACATTAGGTTAGGTGGGTTTTGTTAGGTTACATTAGGTTAGGCAGGTTTTATTTTGTTAGGTTGCATTAGGTTAGGTGGGCTTTGTTAGGTTACATTAGGTTAGGTGGGTTTTGTTAGGTTACATAGGTTAGGTGGGCTTTGTTAGGTTACATAGGTTAGGTGGGTTTTGTTTGGTTTGGTTACATATTTTACCCCTTGCACAACAAAATAACATTGCAACTGCAAATCTTAGTAAATATTGCATAGTTCAAACTATAATTAATGGCCATTATGTGCCAAGGAAAGTCGTGTACTATTAGCGCTTGAGGATTTTCTCTTCTGCTTTTCACCCTTCCAGGTGGGGGTGCCCTGATGTTGGGGAAGGGTTCTTGATCCAGTGAATTAAAGCTACCCTCTCCTAACATGGATCAAACCTGATTGCCTCATATTCCTCAAGAGATGTTACCCCTATGAGTTTTGCTCTTCCCATAATAATACAGGAGGGTCCTGCTCTACAGAGCTTCACTTTACAACATTTTGCTAATGCAGCAGTTTTCAGTTACACCCATTCTTCATTTGTTCAGACTTCCTACAATAAATATATTCACCACTCACTATAAGCTAAGGATAAAAATATTTTAAGGTAAGTAATGTTGTACTGTATATGCATTTTTTAGGCCTAGCTCTCTTGCTCACTTAATATATGAAAGTGTATACATGTTATCAGGCTTTTATATGCATTTGAAAGTGGAAAAAGGCTAATTTTCACTTTACAGCAATTCTTGCTTTATAGCAGTAGCCTGGAACCAAACTTGCTGTATAAGCTGGGCCTGACTGTAATAATAATCTTTAACTTTCAGCACCCCAGTGTAAATAAGTTAACTTTTGAGTGTAAGAGTTATCCTGCATTAGATCTGCAGAATGTTCCTATGTTTTATAACAAAAAATGTGTCCTCAGAGCCTTTGTACAGATTTATAATGCTGTGTAAGATTTCATGGATAAATCATGTCTTGAGCTCAAAGCTTTGTTAGCTCTTTTCTTCTGGTATACCTGGTGTTAGAAACTAAAACAAGCAGGGATGTGACATAGTCAATAGGGATTTAATGTGCGCAAGATGGATATATAATGGTATAAAATGCCAACATGATGAGTGACAGCCATAAGTGCAGTTATATAGCTGCATGCCACTGAAATTATCAATAGTCATAGGACAGTGCATAGAGAGATTTGCATAGAGGGAGGGATATCTGCTTCATGTGTTCTCCACTGCTTTGGAAAAGTTGTAAACAGAACAAAACTTTACTTTTAGTTTCCATACAGAATTAGTGTCTTATTCCATTGTTTGGAAATTCATATTCCCTGTTGTACCATTTAAGTTAGGTGCTGTATTACATTATTTGTTGTCTCTTCTTGTTCCCCTCTTGAAAGGTGCCTTCATGCTGGTGAGGGGCTGTTGATCCAAGGTGCTGGACCTGTCCTCCCCTTTCTTGGATCATACTGATTGCCTCTCTTTTCCATAATCTTGAAATATATTCCATTGATCTTCTACTCTTCTTTCTTAATGAAGAAGATCTGTATAGTCTTCTTGCAGCAACTTTTCTTCCTCAGTTAACCCCTTGACCGTCGCAACCCCCAATCCTGAAGTGTCTCCTGGTGTTGCAAAATTTAAAAAAAAGATTATTTTTTCTTATGAAATGATAGAGAATCTTTTCCCGATTGTAATGACACCAAAAACACGAAATTTGATGGAAAACTGATGGAATTACGCTCTCGCGAAGTTAGCGACCTTGGCGATATTTACAAATCGGCGTTTCGCCCACTTTGACCCCTATTTGCGGCTAATTCCATTGTTCCAGTTGACCAAACTCATAGCTATTTCTTTAGAACTCCATTTTTTCTATCGATTGAGCACAAGAAACTGTCCATTTACCGATTTCAACTACCCAATAACATGGTCAGAAATTTGCAATTTGGCCAATTTCACGAAAATTAACCCTTTCAGGGTCCGTCCCGTAGATCTACGGCTTTACGTTCAGGGTCCAAACCGTAGATCTACGCCATGAGCTCAGCTCACTCTGATAAACTGTGAGTGGTACATTTGGGCCTAGATATGAGAGAATACATCTATGTGGTATGTGTGCACCACATAAAACAGATCCTGCAGCACACTGTGTATAATGAGAGAAAAAAAAATGAAATCAAGATTTTCGATTAAAACAGCAACTTGCAGTGTTTTTTTTTGTATGTTTTTTATAGTTGTATTTGCGATTTCTTGGTCTCATTTGAATAGAATGGAAGACATATTACAGAAATAGAGATAATTTTTATTGGTTTTAGCAATGGAAATGGCTTGAAACTGAGCTCAAAGTAGCAGAAATGTTAAATTTTTTCCGATATTCAAGAGTAAACAAACGACCTCACACGTCTAATACACATCAGCTGGTGGGGCTAATATACATTCACAAATATGGTGATGAATTTATACAATTAATTTCAGTAAATTTCATAACAGAATCTTCTATTTTTTTGGTGTGAATAAAAATTCATTTTGTGAATAAAAAATCAAAATGGAATTTATTTTTTAAAGCCTCAAAACATAACTAATGAACAGAGGAAATGTTAGTTAGTGCCAGGGAATGCCTACATTGTTCATTCTGGACCCATTTTGAAATTGGAAATTTTTAACTTTTTGTTAAATTTGGGCCCAAAATTTAAAAATTTCCGATCACTTTATTTGTAGTTGAAACAGTTGACTTGGCGATTTCTTGTGCTCAATCGATAGAACAGAAGTAATACTAGTGAAATAGCTAAGAATTTGGTTGACTGGAATAATGTAATTGGCCTAAAATGGGAGTCAAAGTCGGCAAAATCGCCGATTCGTAAATATCGCTGACACATCAAAATTCGCGAGAGCATAATTTCGTCAATTTTCCACCAAATTTCGTACTTTTTGTTTTATTACCTTCACAAAAAGATTCTCTACGATTTCCTAAGAAAAAATAACAAATTTTTTTTTTGAAAATTCTTGGACACTGGTGCGTGACTCCAGATTTGGGCCTTGGACCCTGAAAGGGTTAAAAAATATGACAATTTCAAAATACAGTCCAGTATGAACAATGCAGACATTCCTGGCTCTAAAATAACATTTTCTTTGTTCATCAGTCACGTCTCCAAGCCCCTCTGATATTACTCTTGCTTTCTATTTTGAATTTTTATCTGAACAAAAATTAGAAGATTTACTGTTATGCAGACTACTGCAATACTGTAATAATTGTATAAATAACATCAACCCATTCATGACTGCATATTAGAATGGCTAGTTGGACATTTATTGGACAATGACATCATTTGTTTACTTTTGAACATCGGCAAAAATCAAACATTTCCCCTACTTTGAGCTCCATTTCCAGGTTCTTTTTAGAGTAAAATCAATCAAAATCACCTCTATTTCTATAATATGTTTTCCATTCTATCAAATGAGACCAAGAAAACGAGAATACAACCATAAATACTATACGAAAATAGACCACAAAGTCGGCATTTTAATTAAAAAAACGGTCGGAGTTTTTTTTTCTCATTGTGCACTGCGTGCTGCAGGATTTTTTTTTATATGGTGCACACTGACCACACAGACCCATTCTCTCACATGTGGGCCTACCAGCTTTCTCCTGCTTGATTTGAAGCCACTAGAATTTATGAGTAGTACATATATTATATACGTCAAACACGGTGCCTCGTAAGACGTATATATACGACCTCGACAGTCAAAGGGTTAATAATATAGTAGTTAGGCCTCTTGTTTTCCCTTTTGATGGTGGTAAAAATTGTACTTAATAGTTCTTTTGTTTCCCTTTGTAATATGGTATGCAATTTTCATTTTTCCTCTTTTGTTCCTATCAGCCAAAAATTTTTATATCAAATGTTTTCAGCTTTCTTAACCCTTAAACTGTAAAAAGTAATCGACGTTTCATGCATACACCCAAAGTAGCAATGTTTTATTTTTCATTCCTTCAATTTGGCAAAATAGGCTTGAGTCACCTAGGCTGAAAAAAGGGGTCTGAGCACTCGTGTGCACACTAAAAAAAAAATCTGGGAACACCTATACCATGGGGGGACACCGTTCAACTGAGAACCACTAGAGCAAAAGGTGGAAAACCCCCAGGGATTCACTGATCCCATGTAGCATTAACACTCCCATTTTAAAGAGGAAAGAAAAATAGGTTAGATAAATACTGAGGATTTGGGGGGGGGTGTGATTTGGACCTGACTGCTTGTGCTACTGGGGTTTAGCATGCTCTTCCCTTCGAGGGTTTGTGCCTGACTAGGGGGTCTTTGGTCTAAGCTTGGGGGGGAGGGTGACATGGCCCTCCCTTGTATGGGCCAGTGGCCTGTGCGTGTTCCTTCTTTTATGTTTTTATGTCTTGGGCGGTGGCCGGCTGGCTTGCTTTGGCGTCTCGGCTGTCTCTTGACATTGACCACAACAAAGACACAGATCTTTTTTTGAAAACCCTTGTGTCCATATCACATGTGTAAAAACTCTATGACTAAAGGGCCCCAAACTAGGGAATTCTTTACCAAAAAATTTTAAAAGTAACCTAGTTGAAAATCAATTTAAGACTTTTTCTAAAAACCCAAAATTTAATCCCCCTTGACTAAATACTAAATACTCAGTATACATTTTTCCCCACTATGTATCCCCCATCCTAACTGAAACAATCACATTGAACCTTTTATCCATTGTTGACAGGAATATAACTGAATCATTCTTTTTTACAAAAGCATTTTAGAATATAAATACGTATATCTTTGTATTATACAAATTTTGATTCATTTATAATTAATATTCTACTGTACAACTATGAAATAATTACTTTCCTACTGTACAACTATGATATACTATTTCTTAGTATTAAGTAGAATGTAAGCCAATAATGTTAAGTTGGCCCATAATGCCAAGGCATAATAGAGGCTCTCTCTGCATTGCATCCTACTATTGTATATACACAATCTCAATGTACTGTTTGCAAAGACATTAAATAAATATCTGTCTTTGTCTATCTATATATCTGTCTCGCATGTACACATATAAGTACATGTAAATTATATAATCAATAGAATAGACAGAAACACATTTGTGTGTATCACTGAAAACAAATAGTCAGGGTTCCCCCGAGCACCCATTTATCAAATGTCACTGAGCTGATAACAGATGTCATAACACAATTCTTCAAGGAGTGTGATATACACTTACTCCAGGCAGACAGAAAAACAGATGAGGAGAGACAGACAGACAGGCAGGCAGATAGACAGAGACAGATAGACAGACAGACAGGCAGATAGATAGACAGATAAATAGACAGAGACACAAGTCATGTTTGTGTGTAACAGTGATAACAAATACAGCGAGGGTTATCTGGAGCACTGGGCATTTATCAAATATCACTAGGCTGTCAACAGTATAGGGATGCCTTTCATAACACCATGCTACAAGGTATACGCCAGGGTATCTAAAACATTGGTGGTATATTTCTAGACAAGAGTAAATAACCCAAGCAGGTGTAAATGTTCATCTGTCAATGTGATTATGACTATCTGAGTACTATTTCAGTATACCTAATATTAGTGTCAGAACAAAGATTGGGTATGAAATTACAAGAACATAAAAATACAGTGGACCCCCGGTTAACGATTTTAATCCGTGCAAGAGGGCTCATCGTTATGCGAAATAATCGTTATGCGAATGAATTTTCCCCATAAGAAATAATGGAAATCAAATTAATCCGTGCAAGACGCCCAAAAGTATGAAAAAAATTTTTTTTACCACATGAAATGTTAATTTTAATACACACAAACTGAAAAAGGCATGCACAATTAAATGACACTTACTTTTATTGAAGATCTGGTGATGATTGATGGGATGGGAGGAGGGGAGAGCATTATCTTCTTACTGTTTAGAAGGGGAATCCCCTTCCATTACGACTTGAGGTAGCAAGTCCTTTTCCGGGGTTACTTCCCTTCTTCTTTTAATGCCACTAGGACCAGCTTGAGAGTCACTGGACCTCTGTCGCACAACAAATCTGTCCATAGAGCTCTGTACCTCCCGTTCCTTTACGATTTGTCTAAAATGGGCCACAACATTGTCATTGAAATAGTCACCAGCACGGCTTGCAACAGCTGTGTCAGGGTGATTTTCATCTATAAAGGTTTGCAGTTCAACCCACTGTGCACACATTTCCTTAATCTTTGAAGTAGGCACAATGGATTCCACAACTGGCATAGGCTTCTCAGGGTTAGCCCCAAACCCTTCAAAATCTTTCTTAATTTCCATACTAATTCTCACCCTTTTTACCACAGGGTTGGCACTAGAAGCTTTCTTGGGGCCCATGGTCACTTATTTTCCAGAAACAGCACCGAAAACACTGTAATAATACGAAATATTCCGAGTGTATGCTTGGATGTTACCGCGGAGGCTGGCTGGTAAACAATGGGACGGCCGGCACATGTGAGGCTGGCTGAGGGCACATTGGACGCGTCTCGGACGAAAATCGGTAAGCGGGTTTTTAATCGGTATGCGCGGCAAAAATTTTGCGATAAAAGTAATCGGTATGCGGAAAAATCGCTATGTGATGCCATCGTTATGCGGGGGTCCACTGTATATAAATTAAAATAAAAACGAGAAAAGAAGGTATATCTGCAACACTTCTGCAAGTGGCAGGAGTCGATGTTGCTAACAGGTGAGCATCCAGAGCCAACTTCACGATCTTATATCTCGGTAAGTAATGACCCTAATTTTTTTTTTATCCTATAGCATGTAGAAAAATGTGCTATTCATTTTAAAAGAAAAAAAAAATTTTATTTTTCAAAATATTTGGAGCGCTATGCGGGTGAACATAGATCTATGTTTGAACAGTTTAACCCTCTGACTGTTTTGGTTGTATATATACGTCTTACACGCCACTGTTTCGGACGTATTTATACGTGTAAATTCTAGTGGCTTCAACTCGAGCAGGAGAAAGCTGGTAGGCCCACATGTGAGAGAATGGGTCTGTGTGGTCAGTGTGCACCACATAAGAAAAAGCCTGCAGCACGCAGTGCTTAATGAGAAAAAAAACCTGACCGTTTTTTTTTATTAAAACGCCGATTTTGAGGTGTATTTTCGTATAGTATTTATTGCTGTATTCTCGTTTTCATGGTCTCATGTGATAAAATGGAAAACATATTACAGAAATAGAGTTGATATTGATTAGTTTCACGATGAAAACGACCTTGAAATTGAGTTCAAAGTAGAGGAAACGTTCGATTTTTACCTATGTTCAGGAGTAAGCAAATCACACCACACGTCCAGTACACATCAACTGGGGAGTCTAATATTCTTTCACTAGTGCATTGACATTATTTCTACCAGTTTTACAATAATGCAGTAGTCTGCATAACAGTAAATTTTGTATTTTTTGTATGTATAAAAAATCAAAAGAGAAAGCAATAGTAATGTAAGAGGGGCTTAGAGATGTGACTAATCAACAGAGGATATGTTATTTTAGTGCCAAGAATGTCTACATTGTTTATTCTGGACCCTATTTTGAAATTGGCATCTTTTTTAATTTGCATGAAATTGGCCAAATTGCCAATTTCTGACCTCTTTATTGGGTAGTTCAAATCGGTAAATGGGTGGTTTCTTGTACTCAACTGATAGAAAAAATGGAGTTTCAAAGAAATAGCTATGAGTTTGGTCAACTGGAACAACAGAATTGGCCAAAAACAGGGCTCATAGTCGGCGAAATCGCCGATGCGTATGTCGCCGAGACTGCTAACTTCGCGGGAGCATAATTCCATGAGTTTTCGACCAAATTTCGCACTTTTGGTGTCATTACCATCTGGAATAGATTCTCTATCATTTCATAAGAAAAAATAAATTTTTTTTCCCCAAAAATTTTGCGACATAGAATGAGAGTTTCATCAGAAAGGGGCTTGCGACAGTCAAAAGGTTAAGGGTTAATATCTCATATCTTTTAGATTTTGGAACTATGTTGGAAGCTGTCACAAACATGCAGGCTTCACTGTAGCTCACTGTAATTGTATATAACTTACTTGAAGCAAAGCGTTAGAAAAGTTTTAATGTTCCTAATAAATCTTTCATTAAGAAAAAGATACAGCATAACCTGCAAATAATTGTTGGCTGGTCATTGAGTTAGATGCCTAGTAATTGTAATTAGTTTTAAGACTGCCTGAAATGCATTGCATAATAAGGGGCTTTCTGTAAAGTAGTTCATATATGTCAGTCACCTTATTGTATAATATACGTACTGTACTCCACTTTATAGAAATAAAGTTTAAAAAAAATTGCTATGTGCACCTTATATTTCTTTTAACCATACTATAAAAGTTTGCAAGTTCTGTACTGTTTTTTATAAATATATTGTTTGTATTTGCTTAAAGAAGAAAAGTTTCCATGACAAGAAACAAAAGCTATATACTGAAAGATGCATTTCCTGCTTGCTTTCAGAATGAAGTGGTCTCTGCAACAAGGCAAAGCAACATTTTAGAAGACAAGGAAATTGACTGCTGCAAGAAATAGCAAACAACAGTTGCAAATAATGATTTGATATTATAGCTGATAGTGCCATATATTGCTGTATGTTCTTAAGTTTGGTAATTTTTGTCACAAAACTGCAAAATGGAAACTTTGGTTAGCACAGAAACCAGCAGTGACCCTCTGGAAACATTCTTGGAAGATCTTGGATCCCTCCTTTGGAAAAACTTGAAAGATGGTGACTATGAATCGGCTGTTAGAGAGATAAAAGAAGAAAAGCATCAAGAATATCTCATAGACAATAGTCTTGATGTTGTGCCAATAATTATTAAACTTCTTCAGGAAGACCTTGAGCCTGAAGGAGAAAGATGTGTAGAAGATTTACTTGTTCACATTGCTTCTGTTGCAAATGTCAGGGAGGCTCTCTTGGTTTTCCTAGAAGAATTAGAATTTCACACTTCAGAAATCCATTTCCACATAATGCTACAACCAGTTCAAACGCTACTTTTGCGTCAAGTATCCAAAAATGCTCGTCCAATGACCTTCTCGTGGGCATTTGATACGCTTAATTCTCGTATAGCTGCAATGAAATTACCACCAAGCTATAATCTGGAAGGAAAAGAGAGGAAGCTTTTGGATGCTCACCCAGATATCCAAGCTGTGACCAGTGCTCTGCGTTGGCTTGCAAATTTTTATGAGGTTTTCCATGTTAAAATAGTGAACGAAGAGCTAATATGGACTGGTAAAGTAGTTAATTCAAGAGAATATCTATCAAGTGTTCTCCTTCAACTTTTTCATAAGCCATTCACATATTTGGATGTGTATTGTGAGAAAGATGAGGTAGAGCATTCATTATATCGCACTTGCAGGGACCTTACCACCATGATAGCTTCTCTCATGTGTAATGTATATAAATTGTTTTCTAATATTACTTGGAATAGTTCAAAGATACTAGCAACTGAAATCCAAAATGATGAGGAGCAAGATACAAAAGAGAGAAATAGAAATGAAGGTTTAGAGACTAAAGATGAGCAAGAAAAGAAAGATGAAATTTCTCAACTATCATTGGCTACTTTTCTTTACTGTGTTTTGGGTCAAGACATGGGTGTTGATTATGTACCTTGTGTATATGCTCATCAGTATGTGTTTCTCACATGCTTACCTCTCATATCTAATTTGTTGCAGGAGAAAGAACATATACCCATTCACAAAGGTTTAATACTGGCAAAAGCACTCTTGGATAAACTTCCACAAAAATCTCTACCAAGTGAAACTCATGAAGCTAAAGCCCATTCTATTTTTCCTCGGCTATTGATAGGCATTATGACATTTTGCGATAATCGAAAGCTAGGAAGTATGGCTCTGGATGTATTCCAGATGCATATTCGTAAGTTTGACAGCATTGGCCGAAGGAAGCTTATTCAATCTCTCCTTTTATCAGTAAAACATTCTGGGGTTTTAAGTTTAGTTATTCATGAGCTTAAGGAAAATATTGCATGCTCACTAAATAAAGAAATGTTGGATCCTAATTTTAGTGGGAAACAGTTAAGAAACCTTGTTCAGCTAGCATGTTCTCTCCCAGATGCTGAAAAAACAGACATGCTGGAGTGGAGTGATTGTATCATGGCAGCCTTGAATCTTCTCATTTTTCTGTTTCTTCGTGATCATGAGAACAAGACTGGCATTAAAGAAGTGGTACCAGTTCTTCAACAAGGCTATCTCTCACAGCTTCAGAAAGGTCTTGACTTGTCAAAAGGGCATTATGAACTCAAGTTGAAAGATTTAACTTCGCTTTCCAGGAAGACAAATCGTATGGATATGAATGTGTGTGTTGGTAATACAGTGTTACCCAATATGGCTCCTGATCAAGAAAAAACTATCGTCCAAACTGCTATTTGTTCTTTAGATATGATGCAGTGTGTACTAGCAAGAGTTACACAAGCCATAGAAAATAAAATATGATGGGTCTTGTATGTGCCCATTTTAATTTATAGTATACAGTGCTACAGTATTACAAGTATGTATTGAGTTAAAAATTTTGTGATTACTGCACCTATTTTTCCAACATTTATAGTTGCAAGAACAGGACTACTGCTGTGCTCTGGGTTTATCAATTTAGTGTGTATTTTATTTAATTTGTTAAGTGTCTAGTGATTGTAGCACATCTTACCACTTATAGGAGTCTTTGGCAGACAATTTGTGAAGAAATAATAATAATATTCATTTCTCATGCGTTTACCTCACAATAATTGTAGCCTCTTTGTTATTCCTATTCGTGGTAAGAATTCCTCCCTGTTTTCATCATTATCTTGTATGACATCATCATATCTTTCTTTCTGTCAGCCATTGAGGATATTTAGTGTTTACAATCTTTCATTGTTCTTTTTAGCTCTGAGAATCATTTGTGATATGTCTTAAGACTTATTTAATTTTACTTTATCTATACATTGTGTTTCTTAGGAGTGAACACAATACTACGGCAGCTTATTCATTTTTTTTTTTTAAATATTCTCTAGAACTTCATACTTTAATATGGCATTCCAGATAAATTGTGGCTAATATTTATACTTGCAGCAATTTGGTAACAAATACATGTACGGTGGAACCCCGGATTTCGTCCGGTGCGGATTTGTACAATTTGGATTTCGACCACTTTTTTGGGCGAAATTTTACCCCGGGTTTCATACCTTCGCTCGGAAATCGTCTGTACCAGACGCATCCGCCTGGGCCGCTCATGTTTGTGTTACTATTACGTAATAAAAATCACTCTTGGGCACATTAAATGTCTTATTTTAGATTAATATAGACATTTTCATTAATCCATGTATGATATTTGCTTCAAAATTACATAAGAAACACGTTACATAGCATATAAACATGCCTTTGTTACTCGTTCACTAAGAGTGTCCTTTTAGTCTTAATGCCATAGTAATAATACTAATACACCTACCATCTGACTTACGACCTGCTCGACATACAACCATTCGACTTACGACCGTGTTTTCTATGCCAAATTTCTAGGAAATAAACAACTGTTTGTGTTGTACACAATGTTTATCCTAATCTTTACAGTATAAAATACAGTACTAGCAGCATAAAAAGTAAAGTAACAAATGAAATACCGAAATAAAACAAAATAAAGTCATTACAAAAATTTGATGTTGATATTCAGTAGTGAGGTTCAACTTACGTCCATTTCGACTTACGACCGGTTTGTCAGAACCAAACTTGGTCGTAAGTCGGATGGTACCTGCACATAATAATAATCACACTTAGGCACATTAAATGTCTTATTTCAGATTAATACAGTAGACCCTTGGTTTTCGTGAGTCTCAGTTTTTGTGAATTTTGGTTATCGGCAACTTTTTTCGTCAAAATATAGCTTTGGTTTTTGTGATTTCCCTTGGATTTTGGCAGTCATACAGTATGTATCCCAGTGGTCCTGCACACATAAAGCCTCCCACAGAAGCATTCAAGAGTCAGTTTGGCATTGTTTCTCGGCGAGTGAGCATCACCCCCCATGTTCATACAAAACATTTCATAATAATCCATTGTTTTTTGTGCTTGCAACTGTTAAATAAGCCACCATGGGCCCAAAGAAAGCTCATGGTGCCAGCTCTTTGGTAAAGAATGTATTGTGGCATTGGGGAATTCCATGGGGTTGGATGTGAGTGGCCAGGATGTGGAAGAATTGGTGGAAGACCACAGTGAAGAGCTAACCACTGAAGAGCCACAAGAGTTTTATCTGCAGCAGCAACAGACCACAGCTGAGGAAATTGCTTCAGAGGAGGAGGAAGACAGAGGGGAGAAGGTGTCTTCTTCAGTGATTAAGGGCATTTGTGCAAAGTGGAATGAGGTGCAAACTTTTCTGGAGGAACATCACCATAACAAAGCTGTTGTAGGCCGTGTCTGCAACATGTTCACTGACAATGCCTTGTCCTATTTTAGGCAAAGCTTAAAGGGATGGCAGAAACAGAGTTCTCTGGAACAATTTTTTGAGTGACAGGGGTCCAGTGACTCAAGCTGGTCCTAGTGCCATTAAAAAACAAAGAAGGGAAGTAACCCCGGATAAGGACTTGGTACCTAAAGTCTTACTGGAAGGGAACCCCTCAAGGAAGGTTCCTTGATGTTGGTGAGGGGCTCTTGATTTAGGGAATTGGATCTGTGCTCCAGTTCCCCGAATTAAGCCTGAATGCCTTCCACATCCCCCCCCAGGCGCTGTATAATCCTCCGGGTTTAGCGGTTCCCCCTTGATTATAATAATAATAATATGGAAGGGAATTTCCCTTCCAAACAATCAAATCAAATCAAATCAAAGTTTATTCTCTATAAGGATTACAATGCAGAGTTTACATATTTTGGTTATTGTGTGGTTTACATGTAGTAAAATACTAATTACAGAGGGAAGGGCCACTAGAACACCTAGCATGGCTAGGCATTTTGGGCAAACTTAGATTAATTCTTAACCCTAAATTATAACAAATTGTGGAGTAAGTTGACTAAAAACTAAGTGACTAAATACTAAGTGACAATACTAGTTTGTGAGTTTAGCAATGTGAATGCTTTTGTTTTGGTACTATACATAGTTTCTATATTGGAGTATCACAGGCAAACTTATGACTAGTTAGGAATCATTATTTTAAGATTAGGATACATATTTATGTGCTTTTAGTCAAATGGGTGAGTGAGTGAGTGAATGTAAATGTGGACCACCAGGTGGTTTTTATGTAGTTAGTTGATGGGGTGTATCAGGGAAATAAGATGTTTTCTAACAGTAGTTTTGAAGGTGATGAATGTGTCTGCTGTTCTAGAGTTTTCAGGTAGGGTGTTTCAGATTTTAGGGCCTTTGACATACATTGAGTTTTTGTAAAGGTTTAGCCGGACACGGGGAATGTCGTAAAGATGTTTGTGTCTGGTGTTATGCCTGTGGGTCCTGTCACAACTATCAAGAAAGCATTTTAGGTCAAGGTTAATATTGGAATTTAAGGTCCTGTATATGCAGATTGCACAGTAGTAAATGTGGATGTTCTGAATAGGGAGTAAGTTTAGATCTGTAAAGAGTGGGGGGGGGGGGGGTGTTGCCAGGGATGGGAATTAGTGATTATTCTTATTGCAGCTTTTTGTTGAGTTATTATTGGCTTTAGGTGTATTGCTGCAGTTGATCCCCAAGCACAAATAGCAAAAGTGAGGTATGAATAAATGAGTGAATGGTATAGTGTGAGAAGGGCATTTTGCGGCATGTAGTATCGTATCTTGGAGAGGATCCCAACTGTTTTGGATACTTTTTTTGATGTGTTGGATATGGGTGCTGAAATTCAGGTTGTTGTCGAGGTATAGGCCTAGGAATTTGCCCTCATTATGTCTGGCAATTAGAGTGCTGTCGATCTTAATGTTAAGTTGCGCAGCACCTGCTCTGCTACCAAACATAATACAGTAGGTTTTGTCAGTGCTAAGTGTAAGTTTATTGGCTGTCATCCAAGTTGATATATTGAGCAGCTCCTCATTGACAATGGTGTTGAGGGTGGCAAGATTAGGGTGAGAGATGACATAAGTCATGTCTTCAGCAAAGAGAATGGGGTTCAGGTGTTGGGATACGTTTGGAAGATCATTGACGTAAATGAGGAAGAGCAGGGGTCCAAGGACACTTCAATAACACACAATAGTAACTTCTCCTCCCGTCTTCCATACACCAACAAGAGTCTTCCATAAAGGTAAGTGTGATATTATTGCTTTATATATTGATTTGTCATTCTTTTCTGTATGTAAATCTATATTTAATCTTTAAAAAAAAATTATTTTTTTGTTAATACTTTTGGGTGTCTGGAACAGATTAATTGGATTTACATTTTTTCTTTTGGAGAAAATGGTTTTGGTTTTCGTGAATTTTGGCTTTCAGCAGACTCTTTGGAACGGATTGATCATGAAAACCAAGGGCCCACTGAATAGGCATTTTCATTAATCCATCTATGATAGTTTCTTCAAAATTATATAAGAAACACGTTACATAGCTTATAAACATGCAATGTTTAAATGCTATGGAGGTGTGCTCGCCAGGCAGAGGAAAAACATTATGTTTTCTCTGGGCCAGCATCAGAGAAAACATGTATGAATCTGCGTTGGCCCAGTCACCGCCCTTAATATGTAACACTTTTGTTTACAATTCTTGGCATGAATTATTCATTACTTCCCCCCTTCTTTATGATGGCAATAATGTGGCTCTGGGCCGCATTAACCCTTTCAGGGTCCAAGGCCCAAATCTGGAGTCACGCACCAGTGTCCAAGAATTTTCAAAAAAAAAATTTTTTATTTTTTCTTATGAAATCGTAGAGAATCTTTTTGTGAAGGTAATAAAACAAAAAGTACGAAATTTGGTGGAAAATTGATGAAATTATGCTCTCGCGAATTTTGATGTGTCAGCGATATTTACGAATCGGCGATTTTGCCGACTTTGACTCCCATTTTAGGCCAATTACATTATTCCAATCAACCAAATTCTTAGCTATTTCACTAGTATTACTTCTATTCTATCGATTGAGCACAAGAAATCGCCAAGTCAACTGATTCAACTACAAAATAAAGTGATCGGAAATTGTTAATTTGGCCAATTTAACACAAAGTTCAAAATATTCCAATTTCAAAATAGGGTCCAGAATAAACAATGTAGGCATTCCTGGCACTAAACTAACATTTCCTCTGTTCATTAGTCATGTTTTGAGGCTTTACAAATAAATTCCATTTTGATTTTTTATTCACATAATGAATTTTTATTCACACCAAAAAATAGAAGATTTACTGCTATGCAATACTGTAATAATTGTATAAATATCATCACCATATTTGTGAATGTATATTAGACCCACCAGCTGACGTGTATTAGACGTGTGAGGTCGTTTGTTTGCTTTTGAATATCGGCAAAAATTTAACATTTCCGCTACTTTGAGCTCAGTTTCAAGCCATTTCCAGTGCTAAAACCAATCAAAATCATCTCTATTTCTGTAATATGTCTTCCATTCTATCAAATGAGACCAAGAAATCGCAAATACAACTATAAAAAACATACGAAAAAACACTGCAAAGTTGCTGTTTTAATCAAAAAATCATGATTTCAGTTTTTTTCTCTCATTATACACAGTGTGCTGCAGGATCTGTTTTATGTGGTGCACACATACCACATAGATGTATTCTCTCATATCTAGGCCCAAATGTACCACTCACAGTTTATCAGAGTGAGCTGAGCTCATGGCGTAGATCTACGGTTTGGACACTCACCATAAAGCCGTAGATCTACGGGACGGACCCTGAAAGGGTTAAATATCATGTAGCTAGGATGTGGAAGAGCTGTAGGAGAAATATTACCCTAGCAAAGCTGTTGCAAGCCATGTCTGCATGATCCAGTGACTCTCAAACTGGTCCTAGTGCTAGTAATAGACAAAGAAGGGAAGTAACCCTAGATATTGCTTTGATACCTGAATTCCTTATGGAGGGGGATTCCCCTTCCATACAATAACCTCTCCTCCCTCTTCCCTCCTTGCCATCTTCCATACACCAATAAGTCTCTTCAATAAAGGTAAAAGTGATTTAAATGTTCATTTATCCATTAAAATTAGTCATTTATATTTATTTCTCATTATTTTTTGTATGTAAAACTATAGTTATTCTCTATAAAATGTATTTTTTTGTTAATATTTTTTGGGTGTCTGGAATGGATTAATTGGATTTATATTATTTCCTGTGGGAAATATTACTTTGGTTTTCGTCCATTTCGGATTTTGACCGACCTTCTGGAACGGATTAAGGACGAAAACCGGGGTTCCACTGTAATAGTAATGAGTCTCAGTCTGTAAGCCTGAATGTTGTCAAACAAGAACTGTATAATATACATAAAAGCATTGGCAAGTTGTCAACTTAGATGATTCATTGCCCAAAAATATACATAATTTCCACAATAATATGTACTATTTAAGATTTTTAATTTTAGGATTGCTTGATGTTGTAAAGAATTATAAATAATATAATTTAGTCTAAATTCTGTTGTTTGGTATACCTGATGT